CACACACACACACACACACACACACACACACACACACACACACACACACACACACACACAGAGGGAAGGACGAAAGTGAACCTTAAGACACCCACCTCCTTGCCAATTACTGGAAATGCCCACTTTCACTTCGGGTGCACACAAAGGATTTTGACCGCCCGCCCGCTCATCAACCACCATCAAATCCTCCACACTCATTTCCTATTAGTAGGTTAGCTTTGAGCCCAAGCCTTCAAAAGCGGCTTCAGCATCTGTGACTGCAACTATTTTACACATTTGCCGCAGCTGCAATTCACATCACACCATTGCCCTGTTGAAACCAACAAGTGGATGACTCACCCCACACTGCACACGGCGCATGCCACACACACTTGAAAGGAGTGTACAGACTCTTGAAAATGCTCCAACCTCCCCAATGTACGAAACTTTACAACGCTTCGTTGCCAGCACATGCAAAGGAGACCCGTTCCAAAATCGAGAACCTTGCACATCGCTTCGTTGTCTAGATACGCTGCTTGCTGGCAGGGCACCCAGTTTCCGTCAAGCTCACAAACCCCCCCTGGCTCCAGAGGGCCAGACCTACCTAACAAGCACCAAATGTAGGGCATCAACTACCAGCAAATGTGCTGTTACCTCTGGAATCTGAATCTTCCTCCTGTGGATGACTCAACCAATTGTGCTATTGAAAGGCGCGCTTCTTATAGCATCATCATATCCATATGCACACAGAACTCCCATCGTTCTGCAAGAGCTAAACTCCCTATACTCCCCTCCCTGCTTGACACAACGAAAATGTCTAGCCCTGAACACATATGTCCTCTTCGTACAAAAAACGTCAACACCTTTAGATAACCCTCAGAAAGACTGCCATGCATAGCTTTCTGGGTGGATTAGGCATTCTAGCTGGTTGATTGATGGCCAATTCCGCTGAGCCCCTGTGCTGTTGCAGCTCCAACATCTCACTCACTCAGACCACCTCCAACTCCGTACTCTCTCTGTCTCCTTCCCCTCCACCCTCTCCACATTCCTATGTCGAGAGCGTGTGAACCGGACCTAACACCTAATCAAGTACGGAGTATGAACCTCACATGCCTGCTTTCCTCGCATAAGTTCACGATCAGGTTCTCAATCCCCCCTACCCTCCCCCTCCTCCCCCCCCCCCCCCCCCCCCCCCCCCCCCCCCCCCCCCCCCCCCCCCCCCCCCCCTTGGCCCACCCCCCCCCCCAACGACCCTTCTCCCCCGCCCCCATGTCCACACCTTAAGCCACCTCGTCCCCATCGATCCATCCCAAAGCTTCTGGAGAGACCTCCTCCTCCTCAAGAGACCTCCTGCTGAAACCACCTCTTGCTGAAGCAACCTCCTGCTGGGCCTTGCTCTAACACCCGTCCTCCTGTAATGCTTGCACTTGCCATAACCCTCCTCCTGTGGAGGCGAGGTAAATGTCGTCCAGGACGCATCACACTCCTGCTTTCAGTTTTCCTATTCTGCTCATTCCTCAAACTCCACCTTCGGCAGGCAGACGGCACCGTACTTCTCTCAGCCGCCCTGTGCAAACGCGCAGCCCTCATGCCTCTGACTGGTCGAAGCTTCTTTTTTTTTACCTCTCAAGGATGGGTAGCCTCTGGCTGGACCTTACTTTCCCACACTGTTTTTTTTCACTTTCTCCATTCTTTTTGATTTCTCTTCAACCTCAACCTTCAACAACTCTACTCAGTTTCAATTCAGGGCGCACAACTTCACACCATAAACCTCAGCGCTACCGCCGTTCATCATCTAACCCCGTTTGCATACTCTATTCACCCCAATATTCCACCATGGCCTGTCCCAGTCTGGACTGTTGTGTTGGATATTTCATCATCTTAAGGATTCTAAACACTATGGCCTGTCCGAGTCTGCAGCAGAGACCCAGCAGCGGGCTCAATTTAACTCCATCAGCAAAAGATAAAATGGAAAGCCACACCCGCTGCCACCCATAGGAGCAGCAGCATTCCCTCACATCATATCCTCTCCCCGAACAACATCAGAGAGAGAGGGACTTCACAGAGAAGTTTGCTTTGAAGGGCATCAGAAGTCCAGTACAATACATACGGCAGTAGCGACACCGCTTCAGAATAGCACATTAGCTTCTCTGGGAAGGAATCCTTTTCCTCTTGGAGTGAGATCCTGAGGTGAGGGGAAATTACTCCCCCTCTTCTACCCCCCCCTTTCCCCGCTGGCCCCGTCAGAGTGCTTAATTAACACTAAACTAGACACTCCTGATTACAGACCCCTAACTTTCATGAGATGCTAAGGAGGGCACAGGGGGAATCGCAAACCTTTGGAGGGGTATCTGTGGCTGACCACTGCAGGAGCAGAGGAGGAGGATGGAATGATCAGTAAGGGGAGGCGGATCACGGGCAGGGAGGCTATTTTTCCCATTCACTTGGCCTTGGGCTCTCGTTCGAACAACGATTCCTGACAGTGACGATGCAGCCATTCATTGCTGCGCTCCTTCACATCTTTTCGCTCGTCATCGTGTTCCTCCGTCTGGCCCATGAGGTCCCGAAGGACTTCGATTTTGTCTTCGTGGCCAGATTCCAACGTCTTCTGATCAGCTTTCTTCAACATCTGCTTCATCCGCTGCTTGCGGCTCATTCGCTGAACTCGAGGGTCTGCTGCTGAACCTGCACTGGTGCTAGTGCCTTCCTTCTGTGGTGGCCTTGGCTGCTCGTCATCGCGTGCTTCTTCGCCCTCACCCCCTTCCGCTTTTGCAGACCTCAGGTTGGCAATCTTGGGTCCATCGGCATCCCAATCTTCTGACTCCCACGTCTGCTCTTCATCGGCCATGTCTCGAAGCTTCCACACAAGTTCCTTCTCTCTCCTTCTCTCTCTCTCTCTTTCTCTGTATTGACATACACTGACCCTCAGTTCTTGATTGCCGGAATCTTGCTGAGTCCACCTTTCACAGCGTCGTGAAAAGAGAACTTACTGCAGTAATTGCTTTTTTTTTTTTTTTTTTTTTCTGGCAGCTAGCCGCGAAGAGGTGCTACTCCAGGAAGAGATCGCCCTGCAGTGAAGAAGTCTGATGAAGGCGATAAGGAAACAGGTAAAGCTCGAGTGTTTATTAACGGTAAGGGTTAGGGCCCCACTGGTGCTCTGTCTGTCTGAACATATCCGCTATATACGAATTCACAAAAAAAAGCATGCTATGTGCATGCTATGAGCGTGCAATGTGTGTGCTATGTGCGTGCAATGTGCATGCTACGTGCATGTGTACCGTGTGCGCATCTGCACTTGCTTAGCATGAATGTACATAGGCCTTTTCGCAATCAGGTTCGTGTTTCATAGCAACCAGTCCGGCCTGACCTATTCCGAGAACAATCACTTCATCATCATAACCGTCACCCAGCAAATGGACTCAGAAAAACTTGAGATTGAGATGCACACGATTGGATCACACTGCAGGCTACTATGCGCTACCTCAGCACACAAACTTTCCCATCTCCTGCCTTAGGTTGCTCAGAACTTCTCCACCACCTACCTTAGGTTGCTTGCAAACTTCATCGTCAATACACGATCAATAGAGCCACACAGAGGTCTCATGTACTGTACTGTCATAACAGCGCCCCTTCCTAGAGTCCTCCTCTTATAAGTTAGGCAGAGGTATGACACAGGACACCGCCATGTATCGACTATATCCTTAACGGGCTAAGATCCTTGGGGGCCGCAGCGACAGCAGAGGAGGAGGAGGAGGACGACGACGAGAGCGAGGAAGAGGACAAAAGAAGAACAAGAGGAAGATGAGGGAGAGTATTCATACAGAGGAGGAAGGTCCTCCTCTCTTGTAAGCTAGAGCTAGGAGTGACACACAGCCATCGATTGACTACATCCTTAACGGGCAGAGGCAGCAACGACAGGAGGGGGAGGAGAAAGAGGACAAGGCACATTTGGGAAAACGATACCACGGAGGAGTAGGAGGAGAAGACTCCTAGAAGCTAGGGAGACAAATGACACGGCCATGTATTGACTACATCCTTACCGAGCTAAGGCGGTAGCGGCAGCAACGACAGAAGAGGAGGAGGAGGGAAGAGGACGAGGAAGAGGAGGGTGAACGATAATGCGGAGGAGGGCGAAGACGGGGGCGCAACAATGGCGACCAGGAAAAGGAAGACTGCATTCAGTCGTTCAGGTCTCAAAGGCCGGGGACGTGGTCGTGACAACAAACGAGCAGAAGGATAAGCATAACGACAAGAAGGAGAAGCAAACGGAAGACCACGCATGACGGCGACGAGGAGGAGGATCTGGTGGCAACGAGGGAAAAAAAAAACAAAACGAAGACGAACAAGCAACATCATTGCCAGGTGAAAAGAACTTGCGAGTCGTGACCACAGAGAGCAGCGCACAGAAATGTGAGCGCTAAACTCTTTCACGGTCGTATGAACACCATCAGGACGGCGAGGGGCATAATCATACATGGTTCACGGCCAAGTCGCACTGTACAGTCCGGTGTCAGAGGCGCACGGGCAGAGGCTCAAGTATTACGCAAGCCATGTCAATGGTGCCAAAAACTCTTACTGGGTGGGACATGGGCCCAAAAAAAAGACTTCTGACTGGGTGGGACACGGGGTCCAAGTTCGCATGATCATCTTGAGATACCGACCAAGAATAAGTTCACATCTCTCGAAATGCAGCGACTACCTTCTTCCCCTGAATACAGCCTAGTGCGGTCATTATAGATGTATGTATTTGGGGTATCTTTCAGTCCAAATACAGCAATATGACCGCACTATGTTGTATTCGGGGGAAGAAGGTAAGGATGGAGGACTACTATACCCCGAGTGCTGGCCAGGCTAAGTTCAAAGTCTACAGCTCAGGTACAATTGCTGATTGAGTCAGATACAATTAGGGTGAGATAAAAATGCCCCTATTCATGAATTTGGGGTATCTTTCAGTCCAAATACAGCAATACGGCCATACTCCATACACGCAGATTGAGTGCATATCCATGATTGTTGTCAGATTAGAGTGCCCCTATTCATAATTGGGGTCAGATAAGAGGGCCCCTAGGGCCCTAATTCATAAATTAGGGGTCAGTTAAGAAGGCCCCTAGGCCCCTATTCATAGATAAGGGGTCAGTTAAGAGGGCCCCTATTCATGACTGGGGTGAGATAAGAGTGTGCTGAGAAGCTTACTGCTGCCACCACCACACCCGCACAAGCTTGACCCTAAATGATAGGCGAAGATAAGATTTCATCAGGGTTGTAACTTGTGAACCCATTTTTTTGGGCTACCGTCTTCACCCAAATCGAACGCCTGGTCATTATAGCTGTAGCTGTATTGGGGGCAACTTTCCATCTAGATACAGGGATAATACAGGGATAATGACCGGGCATTCGATTCGGGTGAAGACGATAGTTTGAGAGCACCGAAATGTGCCTTGTCGACAAAATTCAACGTTCTCACATTTTCAAAACTCCTCACATTTTTCTATTTTTCACACACCAAGTTCATGACTGGCTACCGACTGACAAAGGCTCAGAGATCAGCTGATCACAACAACAGGTTTTGCTCAGCTACACAAAGGAGGAGGGGGGGGGGGGGGGGGGGGGGGGGACGACACAGA